GCAAAACTGCACCAAAGATATAATTCATCTTTCCACTCAAGATATTGAATATCTTACACCTGCCTCATTCCTGTGGGGTTTCTCTACACAATCCTCCTCACATTTACACCCAAGTAGCTGTACAAGTGTCTTCTCTTSCCAAGTCTAATTAAAACACTTTATACATCCTATTTGTTTCTTTTTAATTTTGTATTGGGGTGAAAGTAAAGTGTGGCACAGCTGCTAAAACAGTTCAGTGTTATCCTTCAACATCCAAAGCTGCAACTGGGCACTGAAACAGCTACTATTTCTACTCCAAGAAATTGCAATGACCTGAAGAGATTTCCTCTTCACAGCTAAGCAACATTTGAGGTCTTACAACGGCCCAGTCTAAGTTTAGGAAAATCACAARTGGATCACTGAATAGAAGGTGAAAATGGTACTTAGGGATGAAAAATAATTATCCTTTTGCAAATCTGGAATAATTTTTTGATTAAATGCCAGGTTGCAATAAACAGTGTGATATGACTGACAGCATCACCCTGGGAAGCTTTTACACCATCATAATTTTTAGAAACCATGACAGAAAAATTATCTACTCACAACTATTTCCAGAAGCATGACAAACTTTTCAAGTTCCCTTTTCCATCATTAATAGTATTTAACAAGGATGTATAAAATTATTACCTCTGACAGCACTTTAAGTAAAAAACCAAGAAAATCAGAGGKTTTTTTTTAATAAATGGTTCTATCAGAAAAACCACTGTGGGGAAAAAAAAAAATAAAAGAGAATCCATGTGATCTCATGCACAATCAATCAAATTCCAGCAAGACTGACAATCCAAACATGAGTAGCTGGCAACGACTGTTATTCTGATGGATAATATCCCAATCCTTGACAACAAAACCTCTTCCTTGAGCTAAAAGTAAATTTGGAAAACTTCAGAAGTCTAGGAAGAAGATTTAGAGGAAGGATTAACAAGTGAAGATATAAAGTGGGTAGGGGTGTGTTAATAAAGTTTATAGATGATCTGATCATGGATTTTATTTTCACTTTTCAGTACATAAATGATGCCTGATCTCTGGAATATGGATAATAAGGAAGTCYCCTGTGATTAGCTGAATTGAGTTTTCACACCATGAAGAATGTTGAAATGTAATATACTTATGTAAAATTTTTACTAAACAATTAAACATGTTTACAAAACAAACAATACCCACGCAGAACAAAAAAATCTTAAAATAGATTTTTTTTTTTAATACTTCAATCAACAAAAGCACTGTAATACAGTCTTGCCAGTGAAAGACAAACTCTGGCATAAAAAAATGCTCGAGAAGTATTTCCTTAAAAAAGAAAAAGAAACATTAAAAAATGACACAAATAAAAAACCTCTAGACTATCTTTCTCARAAAGAAAAAAGCAAGTTTGAACCTGTCTGATCCTAATTTATAAATAATTTTATAGAAGAATGGATTCGTAGCGCACTGAAGACCAGAAGGGCCTTTTAAAGTATGACTTTTTGTACACCTCACCTACTTATGGTTGGTTACTCATTATTCTCACCAAGGGGAATTTGAGATGTTGCATTAAATTTCTTTCCAGAAACTTCTCACACTTGAGCGAAGGTATCTTGAGAAAGACTTTTTAACTATTTCTAAAGCTAGCATGCTTTAAACACCTGGAGAAGAAAACAAGCAAAATACAAAACCAAACCCCCAGCCCCCATCCCATCTGTTTTTAAAACATTCTTAAAAACACACCTACTGGTATTGCCAAGAATGACACAAGTGAGTTCACAAACTGGGGTCAGCTTCCACAACAACATTTACTAATGCARCAGCTATGCAGCCATGGCGCAGAACGGGGACCTTCCTAACCCTGACACCCCTCACAAACAAGATGCATGGAATTCCTACTAATAGGGCAGAAATTCGTGTTTTCAGTAAGATACTGAGAACAGAGATTCTTAAGATCGGCAGTCAAATAATTGCAGGAAAATAATGATTAATGAGTCACAATGCACAACACCTCTTGTGCAGAGAGTGGTGAACAGGCCAAAACATTCTCCTCATGGCAGCAAACATTAAAACCAAGCACGTCTGACACGTACATATTCAGTCCCCATTTACACACATTCTGCTTCCAGGAATCCTTTTTCATCAAAAGAATGTACTTTTTTAGAAACTATTGCCAATAGTTGATAAGAATCCTCACATTTCTGATGATTCATGGACTTGTATTTTACATTGTTACTGCAAACATATTCCAGTTGTCTTATAGCTAGAGAGGTCAACTCAAATCACAGTCTCACTGCAAACTTCCAACAAAACATTTACGAGTATGATATGTAACTTACTGCAAAGATAAACATTTATGTGCTTGATTTTCAGGATGTAACTAATCTCACCAAAGCAGAGAGTACTGACCACTGAATTTCAGTACCTACCAGCTGTGTTGGTCTAAACCTTACAGACTGCTAACTCTCTAAAAATTATTTTTATTTTGGTAGTTGCAGAGGAAAAAAAAAATAGTATCACCTAAACAAAAGTGACAACACAGAGATTTGGTAAGAAATGCCAACAGGAAGCATCCAAATGCCACAAGCAGCACCAAATGACTGTTACAATTCCACAGTCCAACTGACTGAAACACTGAGACAGCTACAAGTATGAACTATCTGCTTTAATTTCATTTTTGAAGAGTTTAGCAACCATAAAGAAATCTGATCTACTTACAACTCTTCACCAAGGGAAACTAAGCAGTCATGCAGGGAAACACCAGAAATTACATGCCTGAAAAGAAAGCACAGGTTTCTTACCCATCCAAGGACTTGTGTTTGGGTTTTTGGTATTTTTTTTTTTCAGGCACTAGACAAAAATTGCATCAACCAGAAGCCATTTTCAAAASCAGTGTTATTCTGCGGTCCAAATGTCAAGTCACTATCAGATTTTTAAGTATAATTTTTGTTTTAAATAACATAAAGTGTTCAGTTATAAAGCAATAAGCTTCGATAGCGTATGAATAGCACAGTTTAAGGTGTTTGCCTCCAGTTGGATGGCAAAGAATGCAGCTTAGCAAAATCTAGTATTTCATTGTCTTGTTGCATTAATGGTTAAGCTTCACAGATAAGTAAGTACCCACCATTCTGTAAAAAAAAACAAAAAAAAACAAACCCAGCAGAGCTAATTTTATAGATCCTATCCTAATGCAAGTTACCACAAGGCCTTTTACATTAAYATTACTCCTGCTCTCCCTCTCCACCTCCCCTAACTTCAATTTAGTAACAAATACACACTCTATGCTTGGACAATGGTTTCAATTGTACTATTTTAAATACAAGTACCATGAATGTTCCCTACTATTTTAGAGAAATTATTCTAAAAGCAACTCAATCAGAAAATGCAGGAGGAAAAGAAAATACTTTGACTACAAAACAAATTCCAGGTAATCCTGAGTGCTTTCCCCAAAGGACAGGGCACAGTTACAAAAGCAGGGATGACAAGCTAGGGCTTTTTTAAAAGCCTTTCAAAAGATGGATAAAGTAACCAATATAGAAACATTTCACAACACGCTGAGCAGCAATTCCAACAAGGATTGCATTTGAACTGATGACTATCTGAGCTATGAAAGCTGATGCATTCAAGGCAGCCCTTAACCAGCTGATGACTGAAACTACACAGAGCAGCAGTGATCACATTAAAAACCTAATGCATCATTTCCAAGAGCATAAAGCAGGYTGGCAGAACTGCAGAAAAAGGAGAGGGATTACTTTTCTCTTACACGAATAACATAAGAAAASATTCCTAAAAATCTTGAAAGTTGAACATTCAGTAGCAGGAAAACAATTTTCCTAAGGACTACACTAACATGATAGAAGGTCACTGGCTTGAGATGCAAACAGTAACAGCATACAAGCTTCTGAAAGAACATTTACATTACCTTCTTAACACTAGCTCAGATGCTTGATTTTTATAGCCACAGACACACACACACATATATATAAAACCAACATGCATTGTACTGCTTAAAACCAAAATACAGTACATTCTTGTGAGTATGAGAGCTCCAAAGAGTATTTACATAAAAGGGTGATTCCTGCATTCTTAACAGGAACAGACTAGGCGAGCACAACCTCAACAGGCTCTWGATGAGCTGGGCTGAACCAAGCCAGGACTGAGAAGCACCCTCACAGAAGGGATGCTCTGAAGAACCTCTGGCTCACCAGATCCACTTATCCACTTCAAATAAGGTTCATTAACTGAAGGAGGAAYAATAATGTTGCTGAGATTCATGTTTTCAAAAGCCAAGAATACTCCKGGTTTTTAGTGTTTTCAACAGCCAAGAATATTCACCATCTTTCTATACTTCCAATACCAACTCACTTTCCCTCAGGAACAGCAYTCCTCCACAAARTTCTTYAGRGGAYTGATCCTCCYCACTAAATCTATCTTCARTGTGCARTGCTGGAAAGTTAAAAAAAAGGATYAGAAAACCTGAATAAGTCTAGCCCAACTGTAAGCCCCGGTCTTGAAAAATTCTTCCATATTTCTCAACACAGGAATGAAAGGGATTTGCATCAGCACTCCTGCCTAAATGGTACCAATCCCTGAATCCTCAGGCTGCACAACCGCACCTTCRAAACACTCTGCACTCTTAAGCAAAACTGTCCCATTAAAAAAGCAAACCAGTTCATTAGAGCACTGCCCGACTCATCATAAAACCCTTAATCTCATGTTAATTTGCGTGRCAATAAATCTCTCACACAAAGATCTGAGGCTCTTTTAAATCAAAATAATTCCCTATGGGTTTGGCTGTGACTCCCTTCCTCCCAGACCAGTCCAGCCATGGTCAGTGAGACATACACTGCCATACAAAGGGCAGTGAGACACCACCCAATCTAATTTAGCAAGAATAGAAAATGGCACTTGTGTGCAGGGCAGCACATGACAATTGCCCATGTGACAGATGGTGCTGTGGTATTCCTTTGTAYTCACATRCCCGSAGCAGGAAAAAGCCACACCTGCARTGGGCTACCCTGGCAGCTGGAACCYCTGTCAGTCCCCTGTTCTAGGAGKAAATCAGCTCTTCCAGSASCCTCTTGCTCAGCTGATGGGTATGTAGCTAGAGCCATCTTCCCTTTGCCTGATTCCTTCTCCCCAAACTCCTGCTGACAGATCAGCACATGCCCAGCTCTGGACTGGCCAGAGCCACCACTGTCCACTGACAGCAGGAGGTGAGAGCAGGAATGCTGCACAGAGGAGAGCACACAGAGGAACTGAAGGGAAACAGGGAACACACAAATGATCCACAAATACTTTGGCTGAGTCACAGAACACTGAATGGTTTTCTCATGGGAAATCATTTCACTAGGCTCAGTGTGCACAGAGCCATCAGTTCTTTCACTTTTCAGATGATGACAACTCAATAACAGAAATTGAAAAATTCCTTTTCTCTGCTACACCAAAGCAAACACTTTAAAGCTACAGCGGTGAATTTCTTTTGCACTTTCAACGAGGTTTGAGTATATGACAACACCTTGACAGGCTGCTGTTTGTTTAGAACAAAATGTAGGAATCACATTCAAAAGCGAGCACCCAGCACTAMATTTTACAATAAAAGATTGCAAATAAATCTGTTTTAAATCACTGGGGAATCAGCTTCAGAATAAAAGGTTATTTTCAACTTTAGGGTACTTTTTTCCAGTTTTACATGTACATTGGTATCCACTAGGAATCCCAACAGACTGGCTATCAAACTACATGTGTGATAACAAAGTTCTTGCTCTACAGACTCTACAAGCTTCCTATGTTCAGAATTACTGACACATTATTCAACTTCTACTCTGATGAAAGCTAAGCAACCATTCATCCTATAGCTGTGTTTTTCTAAACTAAAAAAAAACGTGGCTAAACTCAGCTAATGAACAGACCATACCAAATTTATGTCAATACCTAAACATCTGCTAGGAGCACTGTGTCTCAAGGTGCAATCCACAAAGAGCAAGAAACTCGCATGGTGCTGCTTGCTTTCATTCACACCTGCTTAACAACATGAAAAACAAAAAAAAACAAAAAAAAAACAAAAAAAAAATTTCAAATATCAACTTCCTTGCAACCAGGAGCTAGAACCACTACAGAACTGTTTCAAAAATCCCAAGAGCTGACTTGCACAGCCATCAGCTGGACAGTCCCCACGACATGAGATTATGAAATGCAGCACAGGGCACTTCTGAAGGTGTTCAAGCTAATAAAAAATGCTCATAATTTTTCATGAGAATAACACACTCAAGTTCAAGTCTTTGACCAAGGAATTCTGAATTACATATGTTGAATGATTTTATATATGATAGACTGAAAAAAACCTCCACTTGAATACTACAAGATAATACAGTGGGCTACCAAGTGAAAAACATATTCAGCACAGCAATATCTGCACTATTTCATTTCTCAATTTGCTGCTGTCTGGAAGGAGAGGAGAACAACATYTGACCCAGTATTAAGAACAAGCTTCACATTCATCAAAATAATGTTATTTTTAAATCAGCTCATACCCCAAAGGTGCTCTACAGAAAAGCATGTGAGACATGAAAGCACTGTCTTCAGAAAAAAGATTTAAATACCATGTAGTATGTGAGGCTTAGAGCTCAGTAGAGAACAAAAAAGAAAATGAATAATTGCTTATTAACAGAGGATCAGCCTCTCACACAAAGAATGAGGCTAGCTTCCTACATAGTATCACTCACTGTACTTTTACAAAAGAGCTTAAAAGCAACTTTAATTGTGGAATTCTCCAAGTCTTGGTTACTTTCATTGTCAATCAAGACATTCTTTTAGAAGCCTGTTCACATATTTAATGYCCTAATTGAGTAACAGCTTTGTGCACACCTTTCAAGCAGCTTCATTTCTGTATGGGAYTCCTTACCCAAATCAGAATTATGCCAGCACTTACAGATACAGGATATAGGCTCCCCAACTTTCTCTGGCATAAGATAAATGAAAATATTTTGGCAAGGAAACAGTCCCTCACTAGCAGAACCCTTCTTAGACGCTCTAGCATTTTCTCATACTGAAGCATTGTATTCGACAACACCACAGTCCCTCACCTTAAAACAAGCTCTGCTTTTTGTCAGCAAATAAAACGAAGCCTGCCAATAAAGAGGCTCCCCTCTTGCTCAAAAGTAAGATTTCCGAGCCATGAGTGAAGCACTAACTACAGAAATGCTGCAAATTGAAATTCTGGGGAGTTCTTCAGCAGTTCCCGAAGCACAGAAAGACAAAGTTTCACACATACCTAAACCATGCTGTCCTCCCAGCGCCACTTCTCGCTGCATGGTCCCACCCCCTCTAACACACCCCTGACAACTCGTGAGCCTATTCCACTCAAATTATCTGGAGGTAAATTATGACTCTTCCCTACCCCCCCGTTATTTCAGTTTCCTCCTAGAATAACAAACTCAGTCTGCTCACCAAGAGGTCGGACAAGTGTCAGGTCAGCCCAAGCATGATGCTCCTACAGCATGAACTAACACCTTGCTGCTGCCTGCCTCAGCCAGCAGCAACCTTCAAAAGACTAAATGCTACAATAGCCCCATTTCCTCTCGAAAGCAAATGGGTCTTCTCCTCCTCCATTATAAATTAAAAGGAAACAAATCCAGGCATGTCAAATGCTTATTAGCATTAGTTTTGTACGTGTAGAAGAACACACTTAAATGCAATTAGCTAGAAATAAGAGGAAAAAGTCAGTCCACACAACTTAGCATGCTCTGCGGATGTATCTCTGAACTTTTCTCATTCAATTAATTAATTTTAATTAATTAGCTAAATGTTTCATTTGTATGCAAAAATAGTACAGTGCGCATATGTGCTATTCCCTTTGTGAATTTAAATACASAATTTCTGAAATTCAACCATATTTCCATCTCTGAGATGGAAAGAAAAAGTTATGTGACAATTTAGATTCTGAGGAGGTCAGTTACGGAAACGATGCAAGACCAATGCAAGAAGCAAGTGGAATTGAMAACCACAAAATTCATTTTCCCAATCCCTACACTCACAGAAGTGAGTTTCAAGACTCACTCAAGAGTGTTTGCTGTCAAAACACTCACTCCCACCACTTTGTCCCAAGCACATGATCAAAGTGACAGTCGCAGTGGCACCCTCTGATCTTCTGCCATGAAGTGACCAATCTGTGCCTCGTAATTTTCACCGCGCCAAAGCCTCATCACTAATTCCACCCGAGGAGGAGAAATC